CGTGGCAGACAGTCGCGTGGAGCGGAGGGCAGGAGCCAGGCCCCTGCCGCCCAGTGTCGACACGCCGAAGAAGACAGCGTTCACCGAGGCGCGGCGTGTTGCAGGGGCCGGCGCCAAGACACGCCAGGCGGAAGTTCCGGGAGCCGAGGCGGGGGGAAGGCGGCCTCCGGGCCCTGCGGTTCGAGCTCCGGGGGGCGAGTGGCAGAGACTCCAGGGGGGCGCTGGCAGAGGAGGCACAGCGGGGAGGAGGAGCGAGGAGGAGGAGGAGGAGGGGGAGGAGGAGGATGACGACGACGACGACGACGGCGGCGGGAAGGGAGAACGAGGGGAGGCTCCTCCTCCCGCCAGTTCCCCTTCGATTCTCCCCGACCCCGCGGCTCCAGGTCTATCGCTTCGGCGCTTGCCACATTCATATTTGGGCAGCCTTCCGAAGTGGCCGCAAGGGGCCCTAACTAGGGTAGCTGAGTAGGCCCTAATTTCGCTAAGTGGGACAGTGGTGTTCTAGCCATGCATGGGATATAAAACAGTTGAGACGATTTATACGAGCGAACACTATTAGGCGAAGTGTACGTCAGCGTGAACGCGAATTGAGTAGACTAGCCGACTTGCATGAATTACTGATGCTTTACTCTACAAGCAGCGTGGGCTACGCAGTAAGTCTCAAGCACTTGCGCAATACTTCATTAAGGCGGTCAAGGCAGTGTCTCCCTCCAGCCGAGGGCCCCTCGAACACCCAGGGTTCCGCAGGTAGGCGCCCACGCCGGGATTACCTCTCGGACGTTCTTAAGGCCATCCAGTTTTGTTTTCCCCTCGATCTGACCCTGGGGTCCCCAGCGTTTCTTCGTCTTTCCCTACCCGGGTCCCAGACGGCGCCGACATCATGTCCAACACCGCCACCAGCAACAGCAGCCACCATGACCAGCACAGCCAGTGCGACCTCGACGGCGACGACGACGCATCCAGCGCGACCAGCTTCGACACCTTGAGCATGTCGGACACGACGTCCTCCGCTTTCTGCGTGGCATTCGGTGCGCGGCGTCCAGAGGGTGGGGTAGGCCCAGGCACAAAATCCATGTTGTGTTGCCTTCTCGCCCTTTTGGTTTCGACTGCCATCCGAGGCCTCAAGATGGCTCCAAGAAGGCCCAAGAGAGCCCCCCGAGGAGCCCAAGAGGGCCCCAGAGCGGCCCCAAGAGCGCCCCAAGCGTGCTCCAAGAGCGCCCCAAGAGGAGCCCATGAGGCGACCTTCAGAGCTCTAGAGGGGCGAGGCTAATCGAGTATCCCCCCCCTTTGTTGATCGAACTCCTCCTAGATGGCCCTAAGATAACACCCCAGGCCCCCAAGAGTGCCACAAGAGGGCCTCAAGAACCGCCCAGGAGGTCCCAAGGGGCGCCCGAGTGACCCCAAAGAAACCCCAAGAGGCTCTCCCGAGGCACCCAAGACGCTTCAAGAGGCCCCTGGGACCGCCAAGAGGCCCCCAAAACGTCCTAAGAGGGTTCCAAGAAGCTCTCAAGAGACATCCGAAGAGACTCCGAGAGGCATCCAAGAGGCCTCTGGCCTTTCTGCTCGCCCTGTTTCTCCTTCTCTTCCTCATCAGCCTATTCCTCCTCCTCCTCCTCCTCCTCCTCCTCCTCCTCCTCCTCCTCCTCCTCCTCCTCCTCCCTCCTCCCCCTATTCCTCTGCCGATTTCTTCTCCATCCTCCTTCTCTTGGGGTACGACGGCTTCCCAGCCCTCTATTCCACTGCACGCTCCTCCACATCCCTGAGCAGGGCAACTCGCCTGGGCATCGTTTCTAGATGGGCTGGACGGGTTACGCGAAGCGTCTAGAATTAGCCTCTTGTGTGTCACACAGTTCTGGGTCTGGGTGACATTGCGGGCCAAGCTTTTGGTGGCGCTCCCCCTCCAATGTCGACCATTGTGGAATTTCCGAGCCACGGCGGCTCAAGCTGCATTTCGTTTGACCTCGCTCTGAACGGGTGCACGGGGGCGACGCCGAAGGGGGGGGGTGGACCATCTTTGAGGCCAATTTTGTCGAGGGTTGTTGCTTAGTCAAGTTGGGGTCTGGCCGAGGCTTGGCGCCGGCGGCTTCTCTCCCGTCATCTTCGTCGTCGCCGTCGTCGTCGCCGTCGTCGCCGCCGTCGTCGTCGCCGTCGTCGCCACTGTCGTCGCCGCCGCCGTCGTCGTCATCGTGGCCGTCGCCTTCGTTGTCGTCGCCGCCGTCGTCGTCGTCGTCGGGCCGCTCGCGGAGGTGGGTCTGCGGACCCTGCCGCCCGCGTCGGAGGAGCCCCGCGCCCCCCCTGCAGCTGCCCCCCTTGCGCGCCACGGGAGGAGGCCCGCCCCTGTCCGCTCCTGGTGGTGCTCGTCGTCGGAGCTCGAAGCTGCGGACTGGCTCCTCCTGTCAAGGCGAAGCCCTCGAGACCCTCCCGCTCCTCCTCTTCCTCCTCCTCCTCCTCCTCCTCCTCCTCCTCCTCCCTCCTCCTCTTCTTCCTCCTCCTCCGCATCCTCCTCCTCCTCCTCCTCCTCCGCCTCCTCCTCCTCCTCCTCCTCCTCCTCCTCCTCCTCCTCCTCCTCCTCCTCCTCCTCCTCCTCCTCCTCCTCCTCCTCCTCCTCCTCGTTGTCGAGATCATTGTTTGCGATTGCTCTAACGCCGGCGCTGTTGGACCGCCATCGGTGCTTGGAGGACCCGAAGAAGGGCATCAACCGAGCGTGTGCAGACGACTTGGGTGGAGCCTTGTCGGACACGCGTCTCTTGCTGCAACTCCGCCGCGTGATGAAGGTGGTCGAGTTGATTGCCCACCTGGCCCTCAAACCTGCGAAGTGCGTGCTGACCCCCGTCTCTGGCCCGTTCATTGCTAACCTGAAAGACCAGGTCCAAAAGTTCCTGAACATGTTTATCCCCGAGTGGTCCGCTTTTCGCATCGAGCCGAAACTGTTTTACCTTGGGATGTGGGATTGGCCCTCATCCTCCTCATCCTACTCCTACTACGCCTACTCATACTCCTATTCCTGTTCGTATTCCTCCTTCTCCTCCTCCTCCCCCTCCTCTTCCTCTTCTTCGTCCTCCTCCTCATCATCATCATCATCATCCTGCTCCTCCTCCTCCTCCCCCTCTTCCTGCCAAAGAGCCATGGGGCCCAAGAGCGTCCCTCCTGCTCCTGGTGCTGCCAGTGTCTTGCTTGTCAGGGGGGGGCCCTGCCTAGGGACTGAGGCCCGCCCACGGCCCGCGGGCGGCAGGCGACCGTCGGTTTTTACGACTGACGCGATGCTGCGGGCCGTCCGCAGAGCTGACGTCATCCCGCCTCCACTGACCAACGTGCCACGGGTGCAGCGTCAGGCACAGTGGCCTGGCGGTGGCGGCAAGATCACTCAGAGCCAGAGTGCGTGTCCTCCTCCTCCTCCTCCTCCTCCTCCTCCTCCTCCTCCTCCTCCTCCTCCTCCTCCTCCTCCTCCTCCTCCTCCTCCTCCTCATCATCATCATCATCATCATCATCATCATCATCATCATCATCATCATCATCATCATCATCTCCATCATCATCACCGTCATCATCACCGTCATCCTTACCATCATCATCATCATCAGCAGCAGCAGCAGCAACAGCAGCAGCAGCATCACCATCACCATCACCATCACCATCACCATCACCATCACCATCATCATCATCATCATCATTATCATCATCATCATCCTCATCCTCTTACTCTTCCTCTTCGTCATCCTTATCCTCATCCTCATCATCCTACTCGTGCTCATCCTCCCCCTCCTCCTCCCCTTCGTGACACAGCCATGGAGCCCAAGAGCGTCCCTCCTGCTTCTGCTGCTGCCCGCACGCATCATCGGCATCAACGCGAAATTCTGTGATTCTCCAGTCTCCGAAGAGTATCAAGATAGGCGAAGGCGCGATGGATTCTGGCCTCTGGCTGGGCCACCTCGCTCCGGTGAAGGAGCGGGCGCCCGCCGACTGTCCCGCGGCAGAGAGTGTCACGACGAGGACGACGACGAGGAGGACAAGGAGGACAAGGAAGACGAAGACGATGAGGACGACGAAGACCAGGAGTGGCGGGAGGAAGAAGAGGACAACGTCGACGAGGAGGAGGGCAAGGACGACGAGGAGCACTGGAACTGAGGCGATGAAGACGAGCGCGGATGGGAACGCAACGAGGAGGAGGGTGATGACGGACACGACGAAGACGCGGAGAGGGGAGGACGAAGAGGAGGAAGAGGAGGAAGAAGAATCGGAAGAAGAATGAGAAGAAGAGAACACGCGAAGCGGCTAGGGGCGACGAGGGGACTAGGACGAGAACGGCGAGGCGAAGAGGAGGGTGAGGACGAGAACGCCGATGAAGAAGGTGATAGGAAAACGGGGGACGAAGAAGAGGAGGACCAGGAGCAGCAGCAGGACCATGAAGAAATCGGCGGAGGAGGAATTTGCGCAGGACGACGAGCACAATGAGGAGGGCGAAAGGGAGGAAGATAACGGGTGCGAGGACGAGGACGAGGTGACGAAGAGGACTTGGAAGAATACACGGATGACGGTGACGACGAACAATGACAGTAGCAACGGTGGCGGTCACGGCGGTGGCCACAGCGACGGCGACGATGTCGACGACCACGGCGACGGACGACGACGACGACGACGACGACGACGACGACGACGACGACGACGACGACGAAGACGAAGACGAAGACGACGACGACAGTGGAGGCGGCAGCGGCGGCGACGATGGCCGCGGCGGCAACGACCGCGACGACGACGGACCCGCCAGGAGCGCCTTTGCTTGCGCGACGTGTGGCTGGTGCCCCCGTCGGCTGGATGCGGCGTCGTGCCAGGACCGCCGTCTCTTCCCGGCACAATCGAGATTAGGGCAGAAGTATGATGGTGACACAGACCAACTAGCAGTTCTTCTCAATGTTTGGCCAGGATCCGTTGTCGGTGCCGCCATGGACGCTGTTCATGTGAAACTGAAAATGGCGTGCCAAACCTGGACGAAAAAAATTACCGTTGGAAAAAACCCAATCCAGGTCTGTTTAGGGCTATTGGGCTATAGGACGATAGGGCTATCAGGCTATAGGGCAATGGAACTATAGGGCCATAGGGCTATAGGTCTATAGGGCTATAGGTATATAGGGCCATAGGGCTATAGGGCTGTAGGGCTATAGGGCCATGGGGCTATGGGGCTATGGGGCTATACGGTCATAGGGCCATGGGCTATGAGTCTGTAGGGCTATCGGGTTATAGGACCATAGGGCTATAGGGATATAGGGTTATAGAGCTATAGGCATATCGAGATATAGGGCTATGGGGCTATAAGGCTATCATGCTATGGGGCTATAGAGCTATAGGGATATAAGGCGATAGGGTTTTAGGGCAAATGGGATATTGGGCTATCAGGCTATAGGTCTATGGGGCTATAGGGCTATAGGGCTATGAGCTGAAGATTTACAGCGCTCTAGAGCTATAGGTCTACAGGGCTATCAGGCTATAAGGCCATAGGGCTACTGGGCTATCGGGCTATTGGGCTATGGGGTTACAGGGCTATAAGGCTATCGGGCTATAAGGCATCCGCGAGGACCCCTACAGAGGCAAGCTCTGATTGGGGAATGTCCTTGAGAAAGTGGTCGGAGCTCCGGGGCCGCGGGTTAGCCCTGTCGTCGGAGAAGAACCCCAATCATAATCTTTTTAGGGCTCTGGGTCTGTAGGGCTATAAGGCTCTGGGGCTATAGGGCTTTAGGGCTCTAGGACTATGAGGCTATAGGGCTATAAGGCTACAGGGCTATAGGGCTATAGGGCTATAGGGCTATTAGGGCTTTAGGGCTATAGGGCTATAAGGCCATAGGGCTATAGGGCTATAGGGCTATAAGGCTATAAGGCTATAGTGCTATAGGGGCTACCGGGCACCCGGGCACCCAGGCACCCCGGCACCCGGGCGTGCCGCCGAAATCGGCGCCACACCTCACTTAACCAAATGAATCCGCTGGGACCCCTACAGAGGTGCCCGGGTGCCCGGGTGCCTGGGCGTGCCGCCGAAATCGGCGCCCCACTTCACCTAACCGAATGAATCCGCTAGGACAGAGGCCAGTTCTGATTGGGGAATAATATGTCCCAGTAAGGGCTCTGGTCGGGGGTTCTTTGTGTGTCGTCGGGCTCTTAGGGCTTGTGGCTCTAGACCAGCGGTGAAGCAGGGTGCCTCGGAGTGGCTGGCTGAGTTTCCGCACACAACAGGACGCACGCGGCGGGTAGGCGCCAAAGGAGGGTATCCAACACGCGAGTCGGTGTGCATCTGGTTCGTGTTTCCACATGTGCACGTGCCAGCAGAAGGGGTATCGAACATGCGTCTGGCACGTGATTCAGCGTGCAGCCTGCAGGCCAGGGAGAGCGTCGAACATGCGTTGGGCACGTTCTCTTACGTACGCTTTGCTCACACATGCACTTGGTAGTACCGCCGCAGGAAAAGCAACATAGGGACAGGGAGAGTGACGAGAAAGAGGAAAAGGGGAGGAAGGAGGCGCGAAGGAGAAGGTGGGAGGCGTGGGGGGAGTAGGAGGGAGTGGAGGGAAGGGAGAGAAAAAAAGGAGCGGACGACGTGCGACCTCCGGCTTCCCGCTTTGGTGTTTCCCATTTTCCCCTTGTGTTCTTGCTCCTGTTGGTGTTGGTGTTATTGGTGGCTCCGACGTTTTCTTTTCATCATCTGCAGTGCTCGGTCCCCAGCGCACAAGCGACCAACTCACACTGGTTTCTACACCCCGTCAGGGGTATTATGGCAAAAGGTAGGCCTACAAATATGCAAAACACACAACCACCACAACAATAACAAGAACAAAAACACCTGTGTACAGCAAGTGTTGTACCGAGGTCCAATTACGGTGATGATGATGATGATGATGATGATGATGATGATGATGATGATGCTGATGATGATGATGATGATGATGATGATGATGATGATGGTGGTCATGATCACGACGATGACGATGATGATGATGCTGATGATGATGATGCTGATAATGATGATGATGATGATGATGATGATGATGATGATGATGATGATGATGATGATGATGATGATGATGATGATGATGATGATGATGATGATGATGGTGATGGGTGGCGATGGGTGGTGATGCTGATGATGCTGATGGTGATGCCGATGGTGACGACGACGACGATGACGATGATGACGATGATGATCATGGCGGTGGTGATGATGATGATGATGATGATGGTGATGGTCATGGTCATGGTGATGGTGATGGTGACGATGATGATCATGATGAGGAGGAGGAGGATGATGATGATGGGTGATGATGGGTGGTGCTGAAGATGCTGATGCTGATGCTGATGATCATGACGACGACGATAACGATGACGATGACGACGATGACGATGATGATGGCGATGACGATGGTGATGGTGATGGTGATGGTGATGGTGATGGTGATGGTGATGATGATGATTATGACGATGATTATGGCATGACGATGACGAATGTCGTGACGATGTCTCTGCGATACCAGCAAACCCCATTCCACATCATACCACAGTTCACAGCACAGACGAGTATGGAAGACGGTCCAGCTATGTCAAAATGAAGTGGGACTCGAGTTCCTTACCCGGCTCCTGGGTCCCTTAAATGTATGTGTGTTCGAGGTTCCAATGCATGTTTTTGTTTTCTATGTCCCAGGGGCCATGCTGTTACCCACATGGCCTAAGTTAGGCCGGGACGGCTGTCCGCAGAGATGCTCGCTCGCTCGCTCGCTCGCTCGTCAGCGCATGCTCCCACAGGGAGCGCCCCCTCCCTGCCTCCCCTCGGGAGGGATGCGGATCGAAAGAGTCGCGCCAGAAAGTCCTCGAGCTCGACCTCTGGAAGCCCGCTCCGGGCCCCGGGGGCCGTGGAAGAGCGATCCGGGGAAGAACATGGCGAGGATTGATGGGTTTTGAAGCGGTTCTGGTCGGGTCAAGAGCGAGGAGCGGGCGGAGGAGGCGGAGGGGGAGGAGGGAGCGAGGGGAGGGGAGGGGAGGGGAGGGAGGGATAGGAGGGGGAAGTAAATTTCGAGGGATTCTCGCCGCCTTCTGAAGCGTCTCGGAAGGGATTGAGGTTGGCAAGGATGAGGGGAAGGAGGATGGAGAGGAGGAGGAGGAGGAAGAAGAAGATGAGGAAAAGGAGGATGAGGAGGAGGAGGAGGAGAGGGATGAGGATGAGAAGGAGGAGCATGAGGAGCAGCAACAAAAGGACGTAGGACATAGGACGAGCAGCAGCAGGAGGAGGAGGGGGGGGCAGGAGGACGAGGAGGGCGAGCATGAGGACAAGGAGGAGCAGGAGGCAGCAGTGGACAGAGGAGCAGCAGCAGGAGGATGAGGGCCAGCAGCAGCAGGAGGATGGGGACAGAGGAGCAGCAGCAGGAGGATGAGCAGCAGCGGCAAAAGACGAGCAGGAGCAGGGGGAGGAGGAGGCTGCGCACCGCACTTGGGGTGGACAACGCTGGGCGGGCAGCCGAGCTGCGCGACGCCGCGTTGGCATGGCCAGCTCGTCGCGGTGCAGTGTTGGGTCGTCGCAGGGCCCTGCCTTGTCCTCTCCTGGGGCAGAAGGTTCAGGATGCGCTGTGTGTGTGGGCGTCCGTGGTAGACCCGCCTCGGCGCTTCCAGGAGGAAGAGCAGGAGCTGGTGAAGGAGCAGTTGTGGCGGGAGTTGCTCCCAGGGAGCGCAAGACGGGCCCTGTCCGCGGCTCACACGCCGAGGCTTCGCGACAGTCTGCACAGCCCCTTAGCTCGAAGCCGCATACCATCACCCCCACGAGCGCGGACAGGAGCGAGTGGCCGTGCCCGGCTTGTCGACCGGCCCGCGGAGGGCGCAGGTTTTTGTTCAGCGGTACGCTTCTGCGCGCACACGAAAGCAGCGCCACGCTTCTGGGCCGTGCAGGGATTGCACCTGGCACCCCGACGCCGCGAGCCCCACGCATGAGGTACGCCAGAGGTAAAAAAAAAAAAAAAGAAGAGGCAAAAAAAGCAGCCACAACCACAACCACCACCACAACCACAACAACAACAACAACAACAAACCAAAACAAAACAAAAAGGGGCCAGTTCGTTATTGCCCGCGCAGTTCTTCACAACTCCAGTTGGCGCCGCCGCTGGGCCTCCCCTGGCGACGAGCTTTTTGGGGCTCCAGGGGTGGACAAATGGTGCGGCCCGTAACGGCGTGGTGCGAGACGACAGTGCCTGAAATGTGGTGGATCAGGGTGGACACGACACGGTACGACATTGACATGAATGTGGTGCGATACGATGTCGTCCTTGATGAGGGTTGAGGTCAATATATGTGAATCTACATGCGCTCTCTCGGGAGGGATCTCGCCCCGCAACCAGCGCCCGCCTCGGGAATGCACTGCCGCAGAAACCAGAATCGGGACCACACCGTTGACCAGTCACACCGTTTGCCCTGCCCGACCCCGGTGAATCGAACGCAGAATCGGGACACATTTTTCCAGAGCGTTCGAGAACGCTCTGAGACGGCCATGGCGCCCGATGCATCCCTCACAACACCCGATGTCAGAGATTCCCAGCTTGTACCCCAGCCGACTCGATCCCGATCTTGCCTGCGTCCGACTGGCCCCTCCAGCCCCCCACACTGGAGGACTCCACGACGCCGCGGGTCCTCCCCGGCTTCCGTTGCCCCTGGCAGGAGCGCAGCGCGTGCTGTGCTCGAAACGTTTTGTGTTGAAGGCGCTGCGTGCTGGCTCGGCATCCCATCCGCCTAGTTCAAGCTTCGCGCGGCCCGCTTCGCTTCGACCGGAAGAGGTGCGCTCTCCACCCGCGGGTCAAAAGTGTTGCCTCGGCACGTGCTGGCCCACATCTGGGCGACCGCCTCGCGCTTAGAGCTGCCCTGCCGTATGCGCGTCGGGGCTCGTGTCAACACGCCCCGGGCTGCGTGTTGTGCGTATCGGGGCAGCCAGGCCCCTGGCGGGACCCCTCCCAGGCCCCTTGGAGGGGTGCGATGGCCATGCCCTCCCCAAGGCCAGTAGGAGGAGGAGGAGGAGGAGGAGGAGGAGGAGGAGGAGGAGGAGGAGGAGGAGGAGGAGGAGGAGGAGGAGGGAGGAGGAGAAGAAGAAGAAGAAGGAAACAGACGCAACGAAATCTGCTCGCCCCGAAGAAGCCAGCACTTGTGCGACTTGATGGATATTCGGCGGCGCGCCGAGGGGGGAAGTGAGAGCGAGCAGGCCACGTCACAAGGCGGCGGGGCTTCTCGGAACCCTCCAGGCCTTCTGACAAGCCGTCTCTGTCTTTGGAAAGTCGGACGGGGCTAGGACAAGGATAACGGGCGTTCCAGAACGCTCTCAGAACCATCCAGAACGCTCTGAGAATGCCGCGGCGCCCGAGACATCTTCCGGAGCCGCCGGATCTCAGACATTCCCGATGTAACCTCCCCCGATGTTATCATCGTCCTGTCGGCGGCGGGCGCGGGGGGGAAATGAGAAGGGGCGGGACTTCCGAGGCTTCTGAGAAGTTTCTGGACTTCTGAGAGGGCTTCTGAGAAGTTCTGCCTGTGTTCGAAACAGGCCAGGGAGACGTCTCAGAAGCCCCCCAGACTTCTAAGAAGTCCCGCGGCCCTCTGAGAAGGCCTTCTCCTTCTCATTTCCCCCCTGGGCTCGTCGCCTATCCTGGGTTCGTCTTAGGAAAGGCTCGGAAAGCTTCTCAGAGGGCCCAAGGCTTTCTGGTCCCTCCAAGAGAGCGCGCCCCCTCTGCCTCCGTGCCCTGGGCGGGCCGCCGAGGACACGGCTTCGCAGGACCAGAAACCTTCCACTCCGACACCGAAAAACCGCCGTACACCTTAGGCGATGCTTAAGAAAACTTAAGTTTTCGGCCAGAGTCTTGATTATTCTTAACGTTTCAATGTAAATCTTAAGATTTTAATGGAACTGTTGGGTTTGTATTCAAGTTCTGAGACTATGAATTTCTTAACCCATGATTTCTTAAGCATTTCGCAGGGTGTAATATGGAAAGTGGCACGACAATACGGTGGCGGCGGGATGTTTTGAGTTTGGGCGTTGGAGGTCCGCTCAGGGCTCTGGGGCCCACTCAGAGCAACCGTGGCGCGAAGTCCAGACCATCATCGGGGTCGAGAGCTGTGGAGCCCAGCGCAAACAGAAGCCCGATGCATCGGAGATACAGGTGGGCATCCGTGCATAGTCGTTTTGACTCAAGGAGCATTGGCTCCGGCGGTGGTTCCGACCGCATTTTTCCAACAGTTTTCGGCCAACGCCCGGAATGTTCCAGGCGCGCGTGTGCGTGGCGGCCATCCTCGCACCCCTGTCCGCCCTCGCAGCCCGCCCCGTGGACGTCGCCATCATAGGCGGTGGCCCGTGCGGCCTCGCGACCGCTGTCGCGCTCTGCAAGGCGCGTTGCCTTCGAGGCGCCACGGTGGAGGTCTTCGAGAGGGACGCCTTCGGCCCAAAGGGAGCGTCGATTCAGATCTCCGAGCCGGGCTGGGCGGCGCTCACGGCCATCGACGCAGAAGCTGCACGGCGCATCCGATTGACGGGTGCCCCCGTCACTGGCGTCAGCATGCGAACTTTCAGCGGCGTGAGCATCACACCTCTCCCGATCCGGCTCTTTGGCCTCTTAGCTGGCTGGTTCTTCTGGGGCTTGAGCCGTCTCGGCATCCGTCGCGGGGTGAGTCAGACCCACTTGTGGCACGATGTCCGCGAGGTCCTGAGACAGCGCGCCGCCGAGTGCGGCGCCGCGCTGCGGCCATCGAAGCACCTCGTCGAGGCGACAGAGCATGACGCCGCTGTGCGACTGCGCTTTGGCGACGGCGACGCTGTGGAAGCCAAGGTCGTGCTGGCCTGTGATGGCACGCGCTCCGCGTGCAGGCGGCTGCTGCCGTCGGAGCCGGACGACCTGCTCGTCGACGAGCGCAAGTCCGTGTGGCGGGGCCAAGCGGCGGGCCTCGACACAGGCGGCGAGGCCATCTTCTTCAGGGACGACGATGCCACAGGCGCTTCAAGTCGTTCTGGGCTGGTCTTCCCCGCGGGCTCTGGGCAGGGCTCGAGCTGGTCGCTCATCGCCGACTCGGTCGAGGGCCGCTCGGAGTCCTCGGAGGAGGCGCGCGCGCGCCTCGCCGCTGCGCTGCCCGAGACGCTCGACCCCACGTTGCGCGAGGCTATCGACGCCTCGCCGATCATCATCGAGGGCAAGCTGATGACGCGAGACTTCACGAAGCCGTGGTCGAGCGCCGCACCGCGCGTCGCGTTCCTGGGGGACGCGGCGCACCCACTGCGCCCCACAGGCGAGGGCACGGCGCTTGCCCTGGAGGACGCATGGACGGTCGGCAAGCTCGCTTCTGGCGCGGCCACCGCCGACGCCTTCTGCAGCCCCGAGACGCTTCGCGAATACGAGGCACTGCGTCGCGCGCGCGTCGAGGCCGTGTCGGAGGCTGTGCGCGCAGCAGCCGATCGTTTCTACCAGAAGGAGAGCGGGTCAGCGCGGCCCATGTCGGTCCGCGAG